TGAGGATACCGGGGGCCATACCCCCACAGCTAGTCCCCGAGCCTGACAGTAGGTGATGTAGTCACGTGGTGCCAGGGTCAGAAAGTAGAAAACCAGCTGAGTAGGCAGCCAGTCCCCGGGCGTAGCCTCGAGATGAGAAAAGCACACATTCACCACAAGGTAAAGTGTGCCCACTTAGTCCCCGAGCCTGCTGGAAGATGAAGAATGAATCTTGTAGCAGGGTCAAAGAAAAAGAAGTCTGAAAGCTTGCCGACATCGTCTGACATGCGCGTATCAAGACCCCAGACGTGCTGCCCAAGATCAGCACCCTGATCTGAACAACATGAAGCAGCTTTGATAGCACACCGACGAGACGTAGTAAGATCCGAGCAGCAAGGGAGTCCCCGGCGTTGCTGACGATGTCCGAGCATCGAAGAGCGAGGAGTCCCAACGTCGCCGGTGATGTCCGAAAGCACCGAGGAGCGAGGGAGTCCCCTGCGTCGCCGGGCGTTGTCCGAGCACCGAGGAGTCCCCGTGTCATTGGCGACGTCCGAGCACCGAGGAGCGAGGAGTCCCCGGCATACCGGGCGGCGTCCAAGTATCAAGAGCGAGGAGTCCCAAATCGCCGGGCGTTGTTCGAAAGCACCGAGGAGCGAGGAGTCCCCCTTGCGCTACCGGGCGTTGTCCGAAACACCGAGGAGCGAGGAGTCCCGGCATCGCCGGGCGGCGTCCAAGCACCAAGAAGCGAGGAGTCCCCGCGCCGTTGGCGTTGTCCGAGCACCAAGAGCGAGGAGTCCCCGGCCGGGCGATGTCCGAGCACCGAGGAGCGAGGAGTTCCCGGTGTAGCTGGCGATGCTCGAGCACTGAGGAGCGAGGAGTTCCTAGTGTAGCTGGCGATGACCGAGCACCGAGGAGTCCCCGCGTGAGTGGGCGACGTGCGTCGGCGGTGAAGTATGCCCACTTAGTCCTTGAGCACGAAGAATCCGAAAGGCCGAGGAGTAAATTCAAATAGTCGGCGATGAAGAACGAAGCGATGAATGCCCGTCAATCGGTCGGCGCGCGGCGTGAGCGTTGAGTAGAAACGATCAAGCGAATAGCTTCGATCAACGGTGGGCGATGAAGTCCATGAACCTAGCGGTTCGACCGGGCTTGATCGCTGGAGAAGTCCGAGCGCCAGTGATCCGATCACCTGGACTCTGATCCTGCAATACAAATATGTAGAACGGGTAGTACATGATGTAAAAATATATGAACTCCGAAAAAAAATCAGCAATGACGATGAAATAGCATATGTAGATCGGCGATCAGTTGGTGTGAAGATGTAATTATATTTAATATAAACCGCCCGACCAGTTAGAGTGTAGCTGAGTCTCCAGCCTTAGCTAGCCTATAGTCCATAAAGTCGAGCGCGGAGCCCGTGCACGTGTAGGAGGAACAGGCGTCACCAAGGAGCCGCTGCCGACCACCCATAACGCAGAGCGCGGAGCCCGTAGCACGTGTAGGGAGGAGCCGGAGACAGGGCCATCTCTGGAGGCGTCCGAGCATCAACATGACTGTTCGGGGGTTCAGAAAATCGTTTGGAGAGCAAATATGGAGAAAACAGTTTGGAGAAACATTATGGCGATATACGAAGATTAGAGAATATTTAGAATATTAAAGCGTGACTTAGCTTTAGACAGAAAGTCTGGTTGGCGACGTATGGCGTTATCTGGTCGGCGTTGACGACGAGCACCTGACGGGCGGTGAGTTGTTGGTGAAGGCGACCTCGGAGGTGGTTCCGAGATCGGATCTGGTTTGCTGGAGATGTGAAGTCCTGTCGCAGGCTGCTAGAAAGTCGTCGTTGCCGTGATGTCGAGCCCGTCAGGTTGCTGAAGGACACCGCCGCAGGAAGTCAGGTTGCCACGAGCGGCGTCGATCTTGAGATCCCATCTGGCCCCACCATGGATCAGCGCGCACACCCCTACCTGGCGCGCCAACTGTCGACAGAAAATGCTCAGCAGTCCACCGAGGGGTATCCTGCGATAGTAGATTTGTCGGTGGGGGTGCGCGTAATCAGGAACCAGATGGTGACACAAGGCGCAGAGACAGCGATTTTGACAGGTTCGGGCCGTCTAATCGACGTAATACCCTACGTCCTGTGTCTTTGGTGTATTGTATTGATCTGTAGTAGATAGATCTTGTTGTAGATCTTGTCCGTCAGGGGACCCCTACCTCTCCTTATATACTCTGGAGGGGCAGGATTACAAGAAAAGTAGCCTATTTGGTACTATACAATATCTTGCGGTGCACACCGAGCAGCGCCGTGCACGCCTTGATCTTGTGGGCTGGGCCACATCTGATGGTGCGGCCCATGTCTTATCTTGAGGATACCGGGGGCCATACCCCCACAATGCATATCCAAAATAATCAATTAACTGGGACTTTGCCCATAGAACTTAGTAATCTAAAGAACCTTGGGACACTTGACTTTTTCAGTAATCAAATATCTGGAGAGATTCCGATCTCCCTGGGAGAGTGCTAGTCAAATATCTAGAGAGATTTCGATCTCCCTGGGAGAGTGCCAGATGTTGCAGCATCTCAACGCATCTCATAACAACCTTCAAGGGACAATTCCGCCGTTAGTAGAGCAGATGAAAGGCCTTTTGGTGATTGATCTTTCCTACAACAATTTCTTTGGGGCCATACCTGAATTCCTTGCTAACATGAAAGGTCTTTCTTCCTTCAATCTCTCATTCAACAACTTCAGAGGTCAAGTTCCAACAGATGGAGTTTTCGAAAATGCATCTTCTGCCGCAATCATAGGAAACAGTGGTCTATGTGGCGGTATCCCTCAGTTGAAGTTGCCACCCTGCTCCAGCCACGATACCAAGAAGCCATCTTTGGGGCTTATCATAGGAATATCTATTGGCGGCAGTGCATGTCTACTTGGCGTGTTTGCACTATTTGTATTCTTCATTTGGGAAAAGAAGATAGAGGTGAACCTCCAAACACCAGCAGTCAGTGCGAAACATACAAGGGTTACATATGCTAAATTGGCCCGTGCAACAGCTAGTTTCTCATCAGGGAACCTCATTGGAGTAGGAAGTTTTGGCTCGGTCTTCAAGGGACAAATTATGATTAACGGATTACAAGTGACAGTGGCTATCAAGGTGCTCAACCTCCTCCAACATGGGGCAGCTCAAAGTTTTGATGCTGAATGTGAGACTTTGAGATGTGCTAGACATTGTAATCTTGTGAAAATCTTAACGGTCTGCTCAAGTGTGGACTTTAGAGGCCTTGATTTCAAAGCCATTGTATTCGAGTACTTGCCAAATGGAAACCTAGATCAGTGGTTGCACCAGCCAATTCATGGAAACAGTGAATACAAGGTGCTTGACCTCGTCCAAAGACTAGACATTTCTATTGATGTGGTTTCTACACTTGAATATCTACACATGCACAAGCCAATGCCAATTATCCACTGCGATCTCAAGCCTATCAATATTCTCCTTGATGGTGACATGGTTGCTCATGTTGGTGATTACGGGCCGGCAAGGTTCTACCATGAAGACTCCAACACAAGTTCTGAGAAATCAAGCGCCTGGGCTAAAATGAGAGGAACAACTGGATATGCTGCTCCAGGTGAATTTGCAACTACTTTAGTTTATTACTACTAGCTTATCATCATTACCCAAGTAAATAGGTGTTCTGATTATCTCAATTGTTGCTTACGTTAGAATAAACTGACAAAATTGAGATGTTCCCACAAATGGCAAAACAGACATCACATCCATTAATTCAGTACTCTAAGAAGTGAACTATTGTGGAAAGAGTTATGCGTAAACACCATCAATGCATACTTAAGCTCATTCTGTTGTTTTCTTGCAATTCATGTGAATTTCAAAGTATGGATTGGGTAATGAAGTTTCAGCCCATGGTGATGTCTATAGCTACAGTATACTGTTGCTTGAGTTGTTTACAAGGAAAAGGCCAACAGACAATGAATTTAGTGACGATTTCAGCCTTCATAAATATGTAAAGATGTCAGTGCCCGACCAAGTGGGTAAAATTGTTGACCAACACTTGCTACAAGGGTCAGATGATAATGAAGGAGTGACCTCATACTATAATAAAAATTAGCGATATGAAGATTGCTTGCATCACTTCTATTTTGTGTGTTGTAATATCATGTTCGAAGGAGACACCAACGGAGCGTGCACAAAATGGAGATGCTCTGAAAGAGTTGCAAGCCACAAGTCACTGAAGCATTCCAAGGTCATTCATGTGCATGACATCTTGTCATGTTACAATAAATCAGGTTGAAGAGTGGCTGTAAGAATGGAAGCTCTCCAACTACCTCGTATGGCCTTTTGATCAAGGCTTCCTCTTGTTTCGAACAATAGTATAATACATTAGCTGTCCTAATCAAGTAAAATATTGGGCATTATATAACTTTTTTCTTGCTGCATAAGCAGATATAATGAAGCTTCTCCACATTTGCACATTTGTTCTTGATTCTTCTCATGAATCCTTCTCAAATTGTCTCCACCTTGAAGAGAGAGAGAGTGAATGACCGAAACGGCAACAAGAGGGGCTGAATGAAAGCCAATTAAAATTCTTTAATAAAACATAACCTATGTCTCAAATTCAACATGACCCTCATCTCTTCTAAGGGCCTATTCGCTTGTCTAAATTCTGGAGGAATTTGGATGGTTTGGAGGAATACTGGAGGAATTTATAAGAAAAACACACATCATAAAAAATAAACATCAATTCCTAAAATGCGAAGATCCCACACATCATTACATTAATTCAGTGACATACTGACCCTAGAAACAATCAGAAATATTGTCGAGATATTTCGGAAACAAAATTCAGAGACACACTACTGTCGAACTGGACCGAACAGCGTAGAGGCTATTAGAAGTTGCTAACATTAGATTTGGAAGGTAAATATATAATCCGCCAGGGACCTATTCTTTCTTGAACTGATGCTAGCCGTCCTTGCCCCCCAACGCCGCCCCTCCCTCTGCGGCGGCGGAATGGCGAAAAGCGGCGAGTCCACGGTGGAGGTTGCGTCCTCCAGCTCCTCTCCTCTTACTCCCGCTTCCGCGTCGGCTACGAGGCTGAAGGCGAAACACCGTATGGAGATCGAGGGGTACCCAGTGGATGGCGTCTCCATCGGCGGCCAAGAGACCTGCGTCATCTTCCCGACGCTGAGCCTCGCCTTCGACATCGGCAGGTGCCCGCAGCGCGCCGTCTCGCAGGAGTTCCTCTTCGTCTCCCACGGGCACCTGGACCACATCGGGGGCCTTCCCATGTACGTGGCCACGCGGGGGCTCTTCAGGCTGCGTCCGCCCACCATCTTCGTCCCGGCGTGCCTCCGGGACCTCGTGGAGCGGCTCTTTGAGGTGCACCGCGCCATAGACCAGTCCGAGCTCAACCACAACCTGGTCCCCCTCGAGGTTGGGGAGGAGTAATAGTTCAGGAGGGACCTCAAGGTCAGGGCTTTCAGGACCTACCACACCATACCCAGCCAGGTGAGATGAATTGGTTCACTTCACTTCTTGGAATTGTATATGTTGTGAATTCAATCCGTTATAATCTTGCAATGCTTGGATGAAGTATCAATTATGTGGTGTCTATGCAGGGGTATGTGATATACTCGGTGAAGCAGAAGCTTAAGCAGGAGTTCGTTGGCCTACCAGGGAGCGAGATCAAGCAGCTCAAGCTATCAGGTGTGGAGGTCTGTCTGGATTGGTGGCTTTGGAGTTCAAATTGAAGCACAGTCTAGCAACCTGTTGAAGGGAGTATGGCTTGTTAGCCCCCTAACCAATTCATAATTTTTGTAGATCACTAATACGGTGTCCACCCCTGAAATTGCTTTCACGGGAGATACAACAGCAGATTTCATTCTTGATCCGGATAATGCAGATGTGCTGCAGGCAAAAATTCTTGTTGTGGAGGTATTTTGTTTTCACTTGTGGCTTTACAGCTAAGTTCTCAGGTTGCAACATGTCACCAATTTTGTGACATTAACAGCAAGTTAAAATACTTAGAAACACACTCCATTTCCACTGCTGAATGTTTTATCTTCTGTAGTCAAACCCTTTAATCTAGTGAAGTGTGCTGTGTGAATTTCAGAGTACTTTTCTAGATGACTCCATTTCAGTTCAGCATGCAAGAGAATATGGGCACACACATTTATCTGAGGTATCTGATTTAAGTTGTTATTTGAGTTATTCCAAACTTGTTTATTCAACTTCCAAAATGTCAAATAGTATTTACCCAGAAGTTGGCTTTTGGAAACACAGATAGCAAGTCAGTCCGACAATCTTGGAAACAAAGCTATTCTACTGATCCACTTTTCTGCTCGTTATACTACAGAGGTGGGCTGACATCTAACCTTTGTTTCAGTTCTATCCATTGAAATGCTATGGCTACCTGCAATTTTTTTTCTGTTATTCAATTCCATTTTGACTACTTCTATGTGGCCACTCTATCCTAATTCCGTTCATACTTAAGATGCTTCGCTTCCATATGGCTATTCAAGTTTTTTCCCCAAAGCAACTGTACCAACATGCACATCTCTTTTTCTATTCTGAAGTTGTACTTGATGAAGAAATATATCGGTTGTCTTTGCTCCTTTTGTTATGTCTTGGAAATTTGGCCTATTTGTTTTGCATTGTTTGTGACTAAGCTAGTTATTCTCTTGACCTTCTCTGATTACTTCCTTTTAGCGAGAACAGTGTCTGCATCGAAAACCTAAATCTCATTAGTTATGACTATTTTGTTTGCAGGAAATTGATGTGGCAATAAACAGATTGCCACCGTCTTTCCGTAGCAGAGTTTATGCCTTGAAGGAAGGCTTCTAATAAAAACATGAAGCAGGAAATCAGTAATGAAGTTTTGTCAGTGGAATCAGCAATGCAGTTTTCCAAATTGGATCGTGTGGGTAACTTTCACTAGAAATCTTTTTGCTATGTGTGCTCTGATGATACTATACCAAACATCTGAAGATTTGTGCGGGACTTTTTGTTGTCGGTACTCGATGCTTGTGACATTGGAATGATTGAATAGTGAAACGCGAAACATCCCGCATAAGCACCATTTACTTTATTTATTTTTTAACAGAACCATTTACCTCATTTCTGAACATTGGCAATTTGATATTACATGAATACCATGTGACTTTGGACCAACAACATGTGTAATCCTCATTTCATCTCTGAAGATATACAAGTAGCACTGTACTGAATCCACAAAAGAAAATGAAAGTTTTTCACAAAGTGAACTGGCTACTTCCATTGCTACGTGCATGTCCTTGTCCCTCATTATAAGAAACACAGATCAACATGCTTTCACTCAGCATGCTCCATGATCTTCTCATCTGATCTGCCTCATGAAATGAGCGATCGATAGATGATAGATATGAACTGAAGACAGGTGTAACAGAATTTAAAACGAATGGCAACACTGCTTCAGATCTGAGGTGAGTGATAGATGACAGATATAGATCACAGAACCAGTTACCGACCTATCTTTGCAACACAGCTTTAGATCTGAGGTGACTGATGTCTGACTGTGAATCTGATGCACATACTTATCTTTGTTGTGAACGTAAAGCATAGACTTACAACCGGAATGCAAGTTAACCCCAGCAAACATTGTGTTGCCATCCTGTTAGAGAACTTGTCCGGAATCTGGATAGGTTACCTTAAAACCTGAATAAGATTCATAAAGTTACCAAGCATGAATAGGATTAGTTCCATTGAAGCCCGATTCATAATGTTTTGGAGGTAAAATAGAGTGGAGATTGGAGAAAAATGGGTATTGCAGGGTATTTGTCAATGGTAGGAAAAGAAAAGGAACTTGATATTTTAACCTTTAGAATGGTGCAGCCTGAATCATATCTTTTCATTTGACAAGATCGGTTCGGAACTGTAAAATGTCAGTGCCGACTTTTGTCTGATTTTAAAGCCTAAGTGGTAGATTGCTCAAATTTAGATCAGAATCGTCATCTCAATGCTAGTTAAGACAATGAAGAAACAACTGTATGTGTTTCAATCAACTGACAGGAACACACACCCATCGTTCTTTTCATTCCTGCTATGTATACACCACACAATCAAAAGAATTGGGAGCTGGAGTGTAATATACAGTTACAAACTTGGTTTACTACATGCTTCAGAGTCTTCAGACCATGCATCAATATATATTCAGAACCATCGACAAAGATATACTGTACCATCGCCAATCAAAAGTTTGGGGCAAATCCACTACCTTCATCTTGTCGGCAAACACACGCAGATAATTTACGTCGTCTGCAGCTCTGGCGTCAGCTCGATGGTCTCTAAGCTGCTAGCAGCCTTATGTCCTAAATGTTCCTTCAGTTCAGGCTAAACCTGAAACAATGTTGTTGAGAAAATGTCGGTCAGATTCAGTTTCCGTATCAATTGTTCAAAGAGCTGTGGATTGTTGTAAATAATGCTAAGATGATTAGTGGACATAAAAGCTAAATTGTACTACTTGTTTGATTCTTTCACTATTTTACTCCTTTATGACTTCTTTCATTGAAATTATAAACAATTCTGGTATGCGAGGCTAGGATCTCACGCTGGAAACGCCTGGTAACGCGCACGAAAGCGTGGACAGCCCTACCACTGGACCACGTGCCCATTCGCTGTGGATACAACTTCTGATCACAAATAAGTGATGATTTTTGGACATTCACGCGGTCTACAAAGCACAATCTTAACTAGTATTTTTGTTAGAAATATTTATAAAACATAGGATATGTATATTTTTATTAAAAAAACTACATTCCAAGACAAATCTACTCATACCATTTCGAAACATCCAAACTCAACACATAGAAAGTAATATGCTACTAAAATTTCAAATAGCTATCATAGACAATCCCAGAACTTCACTTATTATTGGTGATTGAAGGTAGTATATGTCATACACCCAAAAAAATCTACCTGGAATTTTCAAACCATATTCGGAAATTCTTTATTTTCACTTTTCACTATAATTATTGGCATGTACAGTACTTGTGTTTGGTATCATGCAACTTGGAACCAATAATGTTCCTGTCATTTAGGATCCAATGTCGCTATGAACTTTTCCCGGTTCATCCCCCAAATTTTGCCATCTGGAAAAAATAAAATAAAGAATAAACTGTGTCTTTTTGTACACGGGATCAGGCGATCAGCTACCCCTGATGGCCCAACTAGCTGCAACATGCAAAAACTTGGCACACCAAAATGGGGCCAGCAAGTTCCATCATGAATCCGCGCTAGCTAGTGACACACCAACATGCGTAGTAGACTAGTAGCGTACACTACAACATGTATTAATGTATATCTGTTTTTTAGATAATAAGCCACAACATATATATCTGAACATTTTTGTCATGTCCAGGAGTTAAATTTGGCCCTACTCGTTGCAGCATTTTTAGGCTGTAGCTATGGCTGCAAGAAAAACAAAATTTCAAAAAAAACTATAATTTGTTGTAACTTTTTTTAAGGGACATCAAGAGATTTGCCGCTATTTTTATTAGACGATAGGAGAAAAACAATCAAGGGCAAACAAAGAACAACAAAACCAACAACAACAAAGAAACAACTTCAGCCAGGGTCTGAGAACTACCTGAAAAAGGAACAACAATTCAGGGGGATAAAAGGAGGACGAGGCTCGATTGAGACGACACATTAAGATCCAAGGACCAGAACAACACTACTTCAAAAACGACTCTACAAAGTCTAAGCCAACTAAACTGTAGTAGGTTGGGGTTGCATCGCCATGTTGTGTTGTGTACCATCATCTTTGCATAGTCTACTGTAACTAGTGCTACAAAAAGCAGCAGCAAAAAAAAAAAAGAGAGAAAGTTTGCAATGAGCAGGCATTGATAAGTTGAAAGGAAATTGCAGTGCCTGCCACAACCTTTTGTGGCATGGCGTGCCGCATGTGAGGCGTGGCGAACCTGAACACCCTCTACATTTCCATATGAAGATGTCAAAATTCAGTTGTACACGAAGGAAAATAAAAGCAGAGCATTGTTCACATAGACATAGGAGTAGTAGATGCGTGCAGCGTAAGCCTACACGGCGGTGGCCAAGTGATTATGGAGAGACAGAGCGAATCCGCGGTGGCTTTGGCTTTGGAGGGAGACACACAGCCGTTCTGGTTCCGGCGACATTCCACTGTGCCACCCGTGGCCTGAGGCATCTCCTGCGGTGGTGCCACGAATTATTGTCTCTCTTGCTTGCTAGGGATCATCGATCAGCTAGCTACCTACACTACAGAGGGGCCCGGCTGCACGACAGTGACCTCTCATGGCCGTACAGCGCCACACATGTGTGGCTTATTTAGCAATAATCCTTTTCATTTGGGTTTCGCCCCGTTTAGATTCCAAAAAATTTTGTGCTGTACTCGTCATATCGAATCTTGCGGCACATGAATGAAATACTAAATATAGACGAAAAAAAACTAATTATACAGTTGGGTAAGAAATCACGAGACAAAACTTTTAAACCTAATTAGTCTATAATTAGATACTAATTACCAAATACAAACGAAAGTGCTACAGTAGCCAAAATCTAAAAAATTTTGAACCTAAACGGGGCCTTTGTCTTGTGTCTTAATCCTTCATTGACCTATGGAATCTTCTTCCCTTGTGCTCTAGCCTCCATAGAAGATGCGTACAATTGGAAACGCAAGGAATAGCATGTTGCCTCAACTTTGCAGCGCAACAATCGCGCGCACTCGCTTCACTTGATAGGATTCGGATGAATTTTGGCCCAAATTCTCAAATCTCAACAAAAGAAGATTTCAAATTACGAATATATTTCTTGTGTAAACTAGAGTCCTGTTTGGAACATTACAAATCAAGTATCTATACGCATGCATTGGCGTGGAAAAAAACGTTTATCATAGATTAATAAGTTAACCACCGTAGTAACTGTAACACCGACAAAGCAGAGCAATGCAATGCAGGTAGATGCAAATGAGTAGGAGTACTCGTACGAACTCACCATCTTACTCTAAACAGGAGCACCTGGCACTTGCTCATGGGCCCCACGACGGTCCCGTCGGCCGACGACCCCGACCCCGCGGCGGCGCGGGGCGCCATCACGCCGTCGTCGCAGAGCAGCCTGATCGGCACCATGCCCGTCCGCAGCGCCCCGACGCGGACGCCGACGTGGGCGTCCACGACGACACTGAACCCCTGCTGCCGGCGTCGGTACCTGTCGCGGACGCGCGCCGCGACGCCCTCGTCCAGCACGACGCCCCTGGCGGTGGCCACGAACGCGACGGTGGCGACGGTGCGCGGCGCGTGCGCGAACCCGCGCACGGGCGCCCAGCCCAGCGCGACGCCGCCGTCGGCGTCGCGCAGCGCGACGCGGCCCTCGCCGTCGCCGTACCGGAACGCGACCCGCTCGTTGGGGTTCCACGACACGACGCGCGCGCCCACGGTGGCGTCCATAGCCGACACGGCGGCGGAGGAGCTGCCGTTGCCGCCGCCGAGGCGGAGGCGCACGGGGGAGAGAGGTTGCAGGTGGAACGACGGCGCGCGCGGGCGGTAGTAGAGGTATGCCAGGCAGGCGGCGGCGAGCGCCAGGCAGAGCGTGAGCAGGGCGAGCCCCGTGGCCAGGCAGCACGCGCGGCGGCACGAGCACCCGCCTCCGCCGCCGCGGCGGTGGTGCGGCGGCTGCTGGCGGTACGGCGGCCGCGGCTGCTTCCGCGCGCCGCCCGGGTGCTGCTGCTGCCGGTACTGGTGCGCCGGCGGTGGTTTGAGCGGGAGCACCTGCGGCGGCGGCGCGAGCGTGGGCTTCTTGAAAGGCGGCGCGGGCGCCGGCCTGCTGCCGGG